AGACTCAGCCCTTTGATGTGTTGCACTAATTGGATTAATACGTAGTTACATCCTGTTATGATGCACTTTGCTGTATAAGTTTTAAATGGAAAATGTAGAGTGAATATCATTTGTGTTTTTTTTTAAAGGAGAGGGAAAAGGAAAGAGCACACAGCATACTAAGTGAGCAGCATAGAAAGTGGTCTTTAAGAGCAAATAAAGCTGGACTTCTCTGTACTACCTGCCTGCTTCATTTTGATTGTGACCCAAAATACATGTTGTTGTAAGTAGTAAGCAACCTAGAGACATGTGAGCGAGAAGTAAGCAGTAAACCTTGCAAATATTTACTTGACAGATTTTTTACAAAATCAAGGAAATATTGGCATTTTACTCGCACACATATTTAGGTATTCAATTAATTATGTTGAAGACTAAGCACAATCAATTACAGGCGTAAAGTTGTTTACAGAAATGTAGCCGTAGATACTATGTGAGGCTTTGAAAACATTCTAAGTATGCAGCTCTTCAGTGTCTGTCTATGTCTGTATTTCTGTGCGTGTGCATGCACAACCACATATAAACATACTGGTTAGGGTTACAGGGAAAGCCAGAAATCCAAGGATGGGTCACAACCACCATTTGGTTAAAGTCATTGTAATGTCAATCCTCACTATGGATTCTTTAGCAGATTTATTGGCATCTAGACTAGGGTATGGAGAGTATAGGGAATGACTATGATGGACAAAAGGAAGACTCACTACTACAGCAACCATCATACAAGTGCAGCTTGAGCCTATTTCAAGAAACTCTTTGAATAAAAACTTCATAGAGGACCCCCCCCCCCAGTTCATGCCATGATAAAGTGAAGGAGCAGAGGGAAGCACATTGACTTGTAAGATAATATTGCCACAAATATTACAATAAAAGTAGTCTTGACCTATATATGTATTCTTAGTTGGTTCTAGCTTATTGGGCTGATTCTGGAAATGCCATCTACATGGACCTCATGTTAAATCTTGGGGGTGGGCTTCCTCCTTTGGAGCAACTTGCTCCCAGTTATTCAAGCTCTGCCAACCTTGCTAAATTTTTGAAGGACTGTAAAAATGAGGTTCTTCGATAGATATTTTGAGATAAATTATCATGCTATCCCCACTTCCCAGGCAGTGCATCCACTGGTTGTGATTACTGTTAGTTGTTAAGTAACAATTTAATTGTTAACTGGTTGATAATTGTACTACTTGATTGTTGTTTTTATATTGCTCTTTATGGATTATTGTAAGGCCTTTAGAATCTGTAGAAATGAAACAGTATATAAATTAGAGCAAGTTTCTCCCACCTTGAGCGTACACCACTGAAAATAGGAATATCCTTATTTAGGAGCAATAATAGCATTAGTTTTTTAAAAAGTTTCAGCAAGGCTTCTGATTCTGCAGAAGTTGGACTCCTTTTAGTAACACATTGTCTATGCTATTTGGATAGCTGTTCTATATACTCCACCCTTCCTGTAGGTGAGATAAAATTAATGGGAACAAATGTATTTTATTTTAGAATATACAACTTTGTTCAGCCAATGTTCACATGGGAAGAGAAGCCCAGCAGAGTTGAAGGGTTTCAAAAGAACCCTGCTGGGTCAGAAGGAAGGCCTGTCTTCAAGACCAATATCCTGTCCCGCCCAGTGGCCAAATAGGTGCTTTCAGGAAGCTTCTAAGCAGTGTTTGAAGGCAAGGCGTCTGGCAACTGACAGGAAATCTGCTCAGGAAACCATTCAGTGACATAAACATCTAAACTTCCCCTAAAAGTACCCAGGACCACATTATAAAATAAGCACCAACTGAAGAACTTTTTGAATCTGAGCCACTTCAGTGAAATCACTTGCCCATGTGTTCAAGTTCTGTCTATTATTCCATAATAATCGCCTTGATGGTTTGCAACTTTTTGGTAAAACTTGATTGCAGAGTGGTAGAAGACTTTATGCACTGATTCTATTTGACAGCGAGCAGTCGTATCCCTTACAATCATATCTTTTTACTTCAATTATATCCCAAAGCAAGGCAACACAAGGAAATTCCTTTCAAGATTTATTTGACAAGAGGAACAGTCACAGAAGTGACAAATGATGGAGAAATAATGTAATAGAAAACAACAAATAACAGCAAAAAAACCTCAACTGAGAGGCAAAAACATCTTAATTATTAAGTGGCATCACCCAGACAAATTCTTAAAAATTACAAGAAGTTCCCTTTGTACAGAAAGAAGATGGAGGGCAGATTTTGTGGTTAAACTATACCAGGGGTCAGCAACCCGTGGCTCTGGAGCCACATGTGACTTTTTCATTCCTCTGCTGCAGCTCCCTGTCACTGATTGGCTCCACAATTGATAGGGCTTTCGGTAAGGACAGGTAGAGGAAAAAGGATGCTGCGCTAGGAAGAGACTCTATGGTGGGGGAACTGGTCTTCCGGCCAGGAGAAGAAAAAGGATGCCGCACTAGGAGGAGACTCTATGATGAGGGAACCGGACTTCAGGTCGGCTCCAGAATTGAATGGGGGGCTTCCGTTTAGGACCTTTGTGGCTCTTTGAATGTTTAAGGTTGCTAACTCCTGAACTATACTAAATTATATTAAATGTGGACTGGCGAAAACTAAAGGACGAGCTTTCTGGAGGATGCACACCCACAGGAGTCCCAGCACGGACTCCTTAGAAAACTTTAAAATCTAAATACTTGTAAATGCATTACATTCATTCAGCACTGATGGTTATTTCCATTTAGCATTGAGGGTAGTTCTATATTCCATCAAGAATTTTTGGACATGATGAGAGAAATAAAGAGGGCAAATTCCTGCTTTCACATCACTGAGGGTGTGTTGTATCCCTAGATACATCCAAATCAGTAATTATCCAGCTAAAAATCTGGTTTTTCTACACTGATAGGAGACATCCCCAGACAGCACCACAGTCTGTCCATCAATCTAAATACTGTATATTATGCAGCCTTCAGAATTTTGCTACGTGATATTTTAACTCACCAGAGGCTAATTCCCACGGTACTAGCAAGAAAGCTGCTTCATATACCTGCCTGGGTTGAAAAATGCAGGCCCATCCATACTGTACATGACAAAGAGCATGCTTTAGCTGCAAGAGTTACAACATTTTTAGATCAATATCATACATCAATTTTAAAGGGTTTCATTTTGAAAATGCATAAGAATCTAATTTCCCAAGAATGAAGACCAGGTTAACAGGAATGGGGCTTGAGCACAGACACAGTCAGGCATGATAAGAGGTGAAGTTCAGCCACATTTGAAATCACAAGATTTTTTTTTACCTTATCTTACAATTGTCATTACAACTTGAAATAAAACATGAGGGAAAATTGAGAAGTCCGGGAAGGAAATTACGGATTTTACCTGTGCTGGAGAATTCCAAAGTTGTGGAATTCCAAGATTGTTTAGGTGTAGAAATTCCTGTAGTTTTCTCACTGATATTTTCTGATGGAGCAGTAGTCTCTAGTTGTACGTAAAAATAAAATCCATAATTAGTTACAGCAATGCAGAATATGTATTTCTTATAACAGATTTATAGTAAAGAACAGGTGAGAACAACTTGGTGGTGATTGTTGCTATTCTTTTTATCAATTTCTTGCAATGTTCTATTGATATTTAATTGGTTGTTTAATAATTTTGAGAGATTTTCAACTATGCTTTAGTAGACATGGCAATCTTTCATCAATTTAATCAATTTAAATCAATTTAAAAGTCCCTGTTATTATGGGTAATGGATTTATGTGTTACTAGTAAAAAAAAAAACAATCTTAGGTAATTTATCCAGGTTTGGGAAGCATTACCTTGGATCAAGAACCATACTTCCATAATAACTATTTAAATATCTCTATCCAAGTTTACAGAACTTAGGTTCTAACCCAGTTTTTCAACCATATACTGTATATGTTTAATATTTTTGCCATCATGGAAAGGAATTAATTTTGAAAAACCTCTGTTCCTTTTCCAAGCTGCTTTTTTGGGCAATTATGTTTCAGGGTTCTTAAAATCTATTTGTAAAGTTGAAAAATGGAACAATGAATGTTGCATTAGTTATAACTCACAATATAGAAAATAAGAGTATTGATGCAATGACTGGCTTGGTGAGTGGGTATGTACGTATTTTCCTCTTGTTACTCAAGACTATAATAAAAGAGTCATTTTGGAAAATGTCTACATTTTTGGAAAACCACACAAATTTGTCAAAGCGATATTGACACAGAAGTTCCTATATTTCATCTTGTTATATAACACAGAGCATAGGACATACAGTACGTTGGAAAAATCTTGAACTTTTCCCTCTCCTTCCACTTTGTCCGGAAAGATTTCTTGAAAAGGTGCTGGGAGATTTTAAGGACTCCTTAATATTCTTCTCAACTGTTTTGCATGACTTCTGCCTTCTGAGCAGCCCTGAACAAATGTTCTAACTGAGAGAGATTGTGAACCTTTTGGAAGGAAGCTATCTGCCTGCTAACAAGGCTGAAATACTGATTTTGCTTTATAGAATCACAGAGTAGAGGAAATAATTCATTTTGGATGTCTGGAATATCTTCCTCATGTAATGCCAGAGACTCCGTTTCTCTCTTCTTCACCTTCCGGCTTGCAAATAACATTTTTTTGCTGACACCAGACAGATGACTTCATTTCAGATAAACCCCAAAGTGGAATGAAGAAAGAATGTCTCATCAAAATCCATTATGCCTTTGTCAATAACTGACTAGGAAATTAAATCAAGCTGGTGCTCTCCACTGGACAGAATATGTCTTCTTGTTTCTAAGGCAAACCAGTGGCCTGGTCTCTATAGATCAGTTTATGTATCAAAGCTTCCAGCATGCTCAGAGATTCTCATTCAGAAAAAAAAAATAATGAGCAAAGAAGAGTTAGGCAAATTCTACCATTAGGGACGTGGTGGCTCAGTGGCTAAAATGCTGAGCTGTCGATCAGAAAGATCGGCAGTTTGAATCCCTAGTGCCGCATAACAGAGAGAGCTCCCATTACTTGTCCCAGCTTCTGCCAACCTAGCAATTTGAAAGCATGTAAAATGCAAGTAGAAAAATAGGGACCATTTTGGTTGGAAGAAAACAGCGTTCTGTGCGCCTTCGGTGTTTAATCAAGCCGGCCACATGACTACAGAGACATCTTCAGACAGCACTGGCTCTTTGGCTTTGAAATGGAGATGAGCACCACTCCCTAGAGTCAGGAACGACTAGCACATATGTGCGAGGGGAACCTTTACCTTTACCTTACCTACCATTAGGCAGAGCCAAGCAGCTCCCTTTAGCATGGGAGGTACCTGTGAATTAGGGAGACTACAGATAGTCTTTAACCTACAATCACACTAGTGACCAAAAAAATTGTCATTAAAGAGTGTGGTTGTTAAGCGAGACATTACATGATTTTATTTTATGGCCATTTTTGGTGTTATTGTTAAGCAAGACATTACATGACTGCAGCTTCAACCTTCCTTGCTAGCTTCCCGACTGGCTTTGCTTGTTGGAAGTAGCTGGGAAGGTAACAAATGGTGACCAACTACTACAACAGTTGTGTGAGGACTGGTCCATAAGCCACTTTTTTCAGCACTGTCAGAACTTTGAATGGTCGTATGTCAAGGAATGCCTTCACGCAGACTAATCTGTTTGTTTTTTTTCTGAAATGTTAAAGTAAGAGAACAGTATTTCATTCTCCACTTCAGCCAACAAAATGTCTTCGGACATTCCAAAATGTCTTTGGAATGTTAACTGTTAGGATTTAACTTCTGTTATGTTGGATTCTATTATTTGTTTTATCTCACTTTGACTTTTTTCAACTTTTTTGAAATATATAAAAATGTTTAAGCCATTTACAACCCATAATGCAAGGGGGAGGGGGGATATAGCCATCATAACTGTTGGAATACACTAGCACCGATATGCCAATACTCACATACTACATTTTGTGTATGTGTGTGTGTGTGTGTATAATATATATATGATGTATATATGTATATCTGTATATCTGTATATCTGTATATCTGTATATCTGTATATCTGTATATCTGTATATCTGTATATCTGTATATC